CGCATGTCAGCCTGCTTGCCCTGGAATGCTAAGATGAACCCTTGTCGTGACAGCTGCTCTTAAGAGAATGTATAGTAAAATAAACACCTGTCATGGCACCCACTCAATGCCTTCAACACTTCTGAATGGAAACTGTTTCACGATCTCCTCTCTCGAGCGCCTGTGCAATGCCCTTGTGTGTGAGTGTGGATGCTTACGTATATGCAACGAGACATATAAAAAACATATAAAAAACATATAAACAGATCTATAGTTAGGTACATATATGAGTTTGTGGATATATCAGTATATAGGTATATAAGTATATAGATATAATAATATCTATATGTATGTATACACACACACACGCACAAACATATGAATATATAAACCTAATAACATATAAACAGACATGTAAACTTATTCACAGACAAGTAGACTTATAAACAAACATAAATAACAAAAAATATATATATATACAATGATATATATGCACATATGTATATATTCATATATATATATATATATATATATATATATATATATATATATATATGTACACATACACACATATGTATGTATGGATGTACATACATCCATACATACATACACACACACACACACACACACACACACACACACATACACACATATACATACATATATATATATATATATATATATATATATATATATATATATATGTGTGTGTGTGTGTGTGTGTGTGTGTGTGTGTGTGTGTGTGTGTGTGTGTGTGTGTGTGTGTGTGTGTGTGTGTGTGTGTGTGTGTGTGTATATATATATATATATATATATATATATATATATATATATATATGTGTGTGTGTGTGTGTGTGTGTGTGTGTGTGTGTGTGTGTGTGTGTGTGTGTGTGTGTGTATACATACATACACACGCACACACATACACACGTTTGCTTATATGCTTGAATGAACGTTCACGCAAGCATACCTCGCATTCGGAATTTCGTCGATTGGCTTTCCATCTGATCTAATAACATAAATTGCGCTTCAAAGGCAGTGCTCCCTGTTGGCTGCCTGTCACCGACCAGCTGTATGCTCCGTGCAATGTTGACATGCGGAGACTGTACCGCCTTTCTCTGTCTGTCTGTCTGTCTGCCTCTCTGTCTGTATCTCTCTCTCTCTCTCTCTCTCTCTCTCTCTCTCTCTCTCTCTCTCTCTCTCTCTCTCTCTCTCTCAATTGAAGTTCTGTAAACAAAATTATCACAAGCAGACAAATGAGAGATAATGGAACTTAGAAGCCCATTTGGTCAATAGCTTCACAAACCGAAACATAAACACAAAAAAACGTATGTAGAAAATAGAAGGGAAAAAAAGGTAAATTTCCGTATGGCTTTAATGACCGCTCCCCTCTAACTTATCTTAGGGTTCCCACGGTACCCAGCACTCTACTGGTTATCACCTGTGCCAACTTTGTCTTGCGCCCAGAATGGAATGGTATTAACAAAGTGCCTCCAGAGCATGCAATTCCGACCCTTTATAACTACGTCCCATACATGACCACAAGAACCTTATAAAAGCTATACAACATTGATACTTAGTGAAGATTAATGTTTTTTTTCCATTTTCGTATGCATCGTGATTTTTCATCCAGAATCGCAATCACCTCGAAAACTCAGACCCGAATCCACTCTGGTCTCAGCATTAGCTTGGCCAACACCTCAAGCATCCTGGGCGCCTCTGCCACGCCTGTCCTCTGCATTCCAGCTACCGTACACCCGTAGTAATAAAGTATAGAATTTGCGATAACTTTAACTCAACACCAAAGAACCAAACCAGTGCCATGAATGTGCAGACACGAGTTCCCCGCTATATTACGGCGGTGGCAGACTTAGTGGGATAACGCAACACTATATTACAATGAGACTGATATATGGAATTCTATACCAAGGTTGATTTGTGACAGTCAAGGATAAGTGACCATAAAATCCATATTATATAGTGTACATATACCATATATTGCGTTTGTAGATAAGGCTGAAGGCCAAAGATAAGTGAATAAGTAGATTAGATAGTTGCGTTACACCTGTAATACCTTATAAATCGTTTTCTGTGGCTGACAGAAAAATATTTTAAGGGTAACTTATCTATTTTAATTGGAATATCTTTATTACCATTATTATTGTTATTGTACTTATTCTATCGTTAACATCATTATATTCACGCTTACCGATACTAAGTATTATTAACATTTTTCACAATCGCTATAATTATCCATCCAATTATTATTAGAAGTATTACAATCATTATTATAATTCGTAAGCACTACTATTATTATCGACTTTACCATTATCATCATTATTTCCCATCAGAGTATGAATACAAAGTATATATACATGTGTATTTGTGCGTGCGTATATGCCAAAGCATTAGACAAATGGAAATGTTCTGAGTGTGGAGAATGTAGCTAGCGGTCACCACTATATTGGCAATTACTGACCATATACTTCTATTGGTTTATTTAAAATAGATCAATGATTTT